GAGAGTAAGAGGACAGTACTGGAGAGTAAGAGGACAGTACTGGAGAGTAAGAGGACAGTACTGGAGAGTAAGGGGAAACAGTACTGGAGAGTAAGAGGACAGTACTGGAGAGTAAGAGGACAGTACTGGAGAGAAAGAGGACAGTACTGAGAATAAGAGGACAGTACTGAGAGTAAGAGGACAGTACTGAGAGTAAGAGGACAGTACTGAGAGTAAGAGGACAGTTAAGGAGAAGAAAGAGGACAGTACTGAGAGTAAGAGGACAGTACTGGACAGTAAGAGGACAGTACTGGACAGTGAGAGGACAGTACTGGAGAGTAAGAGGACAGTACTGGAGAGTAAGAGGACAGTACTGGAGAGTAAGAGGACAGTACTGGAGAGAAAGAGGACAGTACTGGAGAGTAAGAGGACAGTACTGGAGAGAAAGAGGACAGTACTGAGAATAAGAGGACAGTACTGAGAGTAAGAGGACAGTACTGAGAGTAAGAGGACAGTGCTGAGAGTAAGAGGACAGTACTGGAGAGTAAGAGGACAGTACTGAGAGTAAGAGGACAGTACTGGACAGTAAGAGGACAGTACTGGACAGTGAGAGGACAGTACTGGACAGCAAGAGGACAGTACTGAGAGTAAGAGGACAGTACTGAGAGTAAGAGGACAGTACTGAGAGTAAGAAGACAGTACTGAGAGTAAGAGGACAGTACTGGACAGTAAGAGGACAGTACTGGACAGTAAGAGGACAGTACTGGACAGTAAGAGGACAGTACTGATAGTAAGAGGACAGTACTGAGAGTAAGAGGACAGTACTAAGAGTAAGAGGACAGTACTGAGAGTAAGAGGACAGTACTGGACAGCAAGAGGATAGTACTGGACAGTAAGAGGACAGTACTGGACAGTAAAGGCCCGTACTGGCAGTAAGAGGACAGTGCTGGACAGTAAGAGGACAGTACTGGACAGTAAGAGGACAGTACTGGACGGTGAGAGGACAGTAAGAGGACAGTACTGGACAGTAAGAGGACAGTACTGGACAGTAAGAGGACAGTACTGGACAGTAAGAGGACAGTACTGGACAGTAAGAGGACAGTACTGGACAGTAAGAGGACAGTGCTGGACAGTAAGAGGACAGTACTGGACAGTAAGAGGACAGTATGGACGTAAGAGGCAGTACTGGACAGTTAAGAGGACAGTACTGGACAGTAAAAAGGACAGTACTGGCCCAGTAAGAGGACAGTACTGGACAGTAAGAGGACAGTACTGGACGGTAAGAGGACAGTGCTGGACAGTAAGAGGACAGTACTGGACAGTAAGAGGACAGTACTGGACAGTAAGAGGACAGTACTGGACAGTAAGAGGACAGTACTGGACGGTAAGAGGACAGTGCTGGACAGTAAGAGGACAGTACTGGACAGTAAGAGGACAGTACTGGCGGTAAGAGGACAGTGGGGACAGTAAGAGGACAGTACTGGACAGTAAGAGGCCCAGTACTGGACAGTAAGAGGACGTACTGGACAGTAAGAGGACAGTACTGGACAGTAAGGACAGTACTGGACAGTAAGAGGACATACTGGACAGTAAGAGGACAGTACTGGACAGTAAGAGGACAGTACTGGACAGTAAGAGGACAGTACTGGACAGTAAGAGGACAGTACTGGACAGTAAGAGGACAGTACTGGAACGTAAGAGGACAGTAAGAGGACAGTACTGGACAGTAAGAGAACAGTACTGGACAGTAAGAGGACAGTGCTGGACAGTAAGAGGACAGTACTGGACAGTAAGAGGACAGTGCTGGACAGTAAGAGGACAGTACTGGACAGTAAGAGGACAGTACTGGACGGTAAGAGGACAGTGCTGGACAGTAAGAGAACAGTACTGGACAGTAAGAGGACAGTACTGGACAGTAAGAGGACAGCACTGGACAGTAAGAGGACAGTACTGGACAGTAAGAGGACAGTACTGGACAGTAAGAGGACAGTACTGGACAGTAAGAGGACAGTACTGGACAGTAAGAGGCAGTACTGGACGTAAGAGGACAGGCTGGACGTAAGAGGACAGTACTGGACAGTAAGTGGACAGTACTGGACATTTAGAGGACAGTACTGGACAGTAAGAGGACAGTAAGAGGACAGTACTGGACAGTAAGAGGACAGTACTGGACAGTAAGAGGACAGTGCTGGACAGTAAGAGGACAGTACTGGACAGTAAGAGGACAGTGCTGGACAGTAAGAGGACAGTACTGGACAGTAAGAGGACAGTACTGGACGGTAAGAGGACAGTGCTGGACCAGTAAGGGACAGAAACTGGACAGTAAGAGGACAGTACTGGACAGTAAGAGGACAGTACTGGACATAAGAGGGACGTACTAGACAGTAAGAGGACAGTACTGGACAGTAAGAGGACAGTACTGGACAGTAAGAGGACAGTACTGGACAGTAAGAGGACAGTAAGAGGACAGTACTGGACAGTAAGAGGACAGTACTGGACAGTAAGAGGACAGTACTGGACAGTAAGAGGACAGTACTGGACGTAAGGGACAGTACTGGACAGTAAGAGGACAGTACTGGACAGTAAGAGGACAGTACTGGACAGTAAGAGGACAGTACTGGACAGTAAGAGGACAGTAAGAGGACAGTACTGGACAGTAAGAGGACAGTACTGGACAGTAAGAGGACAGACAGTACTGGACAGTAAGAGGACAGTACTGGACAGTAAGAGGACAGTACTGGACAGTAAGAGGACAGTACTGGACAGTAAGAGGACAGTACTGGACAGTAAGAGGACAGTACTGGACAGTAAGAGGACAGTACTGGACAGTAAGAGGACAGTAAGAGGACAGTACTGGACAGTAAGAGGACAGTACTGGACAGTAAGAGGACAGTACTGGACATTTAAGAGGACAGTAAAGCCCGTACTGGACAGTAAGAGGACAGTACTGGACAGTAAAGGACAGTACTGGACAGTAAGAGGACAGTACTGGACAGTAAGGGGACAGTACTGGACAGTAAGAGGACAGTACTGGACAGTAAGAGGACAGTGCTGGACAGTAAGAGGACAGTTACTGGACAGTAAGAGGACAGTAAAGGCCCGTATGGACAGTAGAGGACAGTACTGGACAGTAAGAGGACAGTACTGGACAGTAAGAGGACAGTACTGGACAGTAAGAGGACAGTAAGAGGACAGTACTGGACAGTAAGAGGACAGTACTGGACAGTAAGAGGACAGTACTGGACAGTAAGAGGACAATACTGGACAGTAAGAGGACAGTACTGGACAGTAAGAGGACAGTACTGGACAGTAAGAGGACAGTACTGGACAGTAAGAGGACAGTACTGGACAGTAAGAGGACAGTACTGGACAGTAAGAGGACAGTACTGGACGGTAAGAGGACAGTACTGGACAGTAAGAGGACAGTACTGGACAGTAAGAGGACAGTAAGAGGACAGTACTGGACAGTAAGAGGACAGTACTGGACAGTAAGAGGACAGTACTGGACAGTAAGAGGACAGTACTGGACAGTAAGAGGACAGTACTGGACAGTAAGAGGACAGTAAGAGGACAGTACTGGACAGTAAGAGGACAGTACTGGACAGTAAGAGGACAGTACTGGACAGTAAGAGGACAGTACTGGACATAAGAGGACAGTATGAACAGTAAGAGGACAATAACTGGACAGTAAGAGGACAGTACTGGACAGTAAGAGGACAGTACTGGACAGTAAGAGGACAGTACTGAACAGTAAGAGGACAATACTGGACAGTAAGAGGACAGTACTGGACAGTAAGAGGACAGTACTGGACAGTAAGAGGACAGTACTGGACAGTAAGAGGACAGTACTGGACAGTAAGAGGACAGTACTGGACGGTAAGAGGACAGTGCTGGACAGTAAGAGGACAGTACTGGACAGTAAGAGGACAGTACTAACACCTGTACTACAACGGGGTATCATACTAAGATGACAAATTAAAGTTTTTTTATTAATAAAAAATTTTTTTTTCAGATTTATAACAAAAAATGTCACCTCACTATTACATCGTTAAAAAGAACATGATTATCTTAATTATTTTTTTTATAATTACATTAAGTTATTCACACACACTAAAATTTAAAACATCAGTCTTAATGATTATAGGCAAATTAAGTGTTAGTTGAGGCAAACTTTCAGTCCATGATCATGCAGATAATTCCTGATAGACTATGTAACTAACCCGCACATGGTAGAGAGAAGCTTACAACAAATCTCAGTCAGATTTGGATCATCTACAAATTCACACTGGTTCAAGTTGGATCAAAATGTCGTCGTAACCTTCTCTCTCCCTTGTGAGGGCTGGCAACTTATGTGTTATTACGTGTGTACTAGTGATTCTGGGCTCACACTGCCAGTCAACCTTATAGCAGTCTGGAAGTTAACTTTGAGGAGGTGAGGGGCAGGGAATTTCGGGTGTGATGAGTGACCTACTTAACTTCCCCCACACCAGTAGTTAACGTAGGCTGCAACCACCGGTAGCTAACTATTGCTAACTCATCCTGTGTATTCTGAAGAACACTGTTTATTCAGTTATAATAGATATGGTAACTTTAGCTTTACATGTAATTAAGAGTTATTTTAACACAATGCTTTTATAAAGTGGTAGCGATTGTAAACACTTTCGTAATACACCAAACACAGTCGTAACACTCACAGTGTATAGTGTGAGTGTTATGACAGTGTATAATGTGAGTGTTATGACAGTGTATAGTGTGAGTGTTATGACAGTGTATAGTGTGGTGTTATGACAGTGTATAGTGTGATTTTTATGACAGTGTATAGTGTGAGTGTTATGACAGTGTATAGTGTGAGGTGTTATGACAGTGTATAGTGTGAGTGTTATGACAGTGTATAGTGTGAGTGTTATGACAGTGTATAGTGTGAGTGTTATGACAGTGTATAGTGTGAGTGTTATGACAGTGTATAGTGTGAGTGTTATGACAGTGTATAGTGTGAGTGTTATGCAGTGTATAGTTGAGTGTTATGACAGTGTATAGTGTGAGTGTTATGACAGTGTACAGTGTGAGTGTTATGACAGTGTATAGTGTGAGTATTATGACAGTGTATAGTGTATTATGACTGTGTTCAGTGTATGTTATGACATACACTGACGACAGTCATAATACAATATATGATGTCATAACATAACACTCACACTATATAGTGCCATAACACTCACACTGTACACTGTCATAACACTCACACTATATAGTGTCATAACACTCACACTGTACACTGTCATAACACTCACACTATACACTGTCATAACACTCACACTATATAGTGTCATAACACTCACACTATATAGTGTCATAACACTCACACTGTACACTGTCATAACACTCACACTATATAGTGTCATAACACTCACACTGTACACTGTCATAACACTTACACTATATAGTGTCATAACACTCACACTGTACACTGTCATAACACTCACACTATATAGTGTCATAACACTCGCATAACACACTAAACACACTCTGGTCCCAGTAAAAAACGACCTAATCAGTATCATGCATGAACAGTTTTGAACACATAAAGCGTATGAAAGACGTTCAGTATTTTAGTTTCTATGGGTCAACTAATAATTACAGCAAGCATAATACAGTACAGGGCTAGAGAGTAAGAGGGAAGGGTTGGGGAGCAAGAGGGAAGAAGGGGAGGGTTATAAAATAATAAAAAGAGGAAGGTTAGAATACAGTAGAGTAAGGAATGACTGCATGCGCGTTGGGCATGCCATGGTGAGAGTCAGGGTACAGGAAGACCTAAACCCACCGTGAGGGAGGAAGACAAGATGGAGGAAGACAGTGGCAGTATTACAGAAATAACAAGAGAGGATTACCGAGTACCATTTGTTTAGATAGCTGATGATATTTAAGTAGTAAGTCATTAGAAAACTCTCGAATGACAATGACAGCAGATCTGCACCACGTAGCCGAAGTCTCCATTGACACGCAGGTCACTGGAAGACCTGCGCCACGAAGCTGCACTGACGTGCAGATCACTGCTAGCAGACCTGCGCCACGTAGCCGGAGTCTCCAGTGACGTACAGGCTACTGGTAGGAGACTTGTGCCACATAGCCCGAGTCTCCACTGACGGTGTAAGTGACCACCTGGGTGCGGCCGTCGGGTAGCAGGACGCGGTACTCTCCCGTGGTGTCTGGACCATCGCGACGCTCTGCGTGCGCGAAGTCGTTGCCGTAGTCCGGAGCGTTGACCTCGTACCCGAACTCGTAGTGGGGCTGCCAGGAAAAAGAATGTTCAAGCACGGGATGACATGCATGTAGGGTTAGTCAAGTTTCAGTTGCTTTCAAACCCGACTGTCTGACTTTTTTGGATTATCCCAGGTAGTTTACACACTGCAAGATAATTGTACTCATGTGTACCTGTGCCTAAATAAACTTACTCACGCGCTTCCCAGTAATGTAATGTAAAAATATTAAATACAATGGAGCACTGAAGACGGCTACATGATCACTTCATTATACGAGAATAATGCCCTAAAACAGTAATGGTAACTTAAGGTAGTGTCCTACTGCAAGACAGTGACCTGAACGTTACTGCTACAGGATAGTGCAGAGATAAAGGAAAGTGCTTTGATGTCGGAAACGTGCTCTTGATCCAAAGAACTGGACTTATCCTCACATTCCTCGGATCGAACCTGAATTCCTTCCATTCCTCCACTTGTTATGTGACACCTATGGTTTTAGCGCTTCCCCTTGAATAAACAAACTACACATTTAAAATGAAATGTAATAAATGGAAAGCAGTGGTTTTATTTAATAGCAAGATGATGATGGTGATGATGATGGTGATGATGATGATGGTGATGATGATGATGGTGATGATGATGATGGTGATGATGATGGTGATGATGATGGTGATTGATGATGGTGATGATGATAAATGGTGTGATGATGGTGAGGGATGATGGTGAGATGATGGTGATGATGATGGTGATGAAGCAGAAGGATCAGGCTCAGAAGAGGAGGAAGGAAGAGGCTGAGATAAAAAAGAAGGAAAAGGCCAAGAAGGAAAAGGCTGATAATAGGAAGAAAGAAGAGTGAGAAGAGGAAGGACCTGGCTGAGAGGTACACTACCTGGAGTATACCTGGAGAGGGTTTCAGGGGTTAACGCCCCCGCGCCTGGTCTGTGACAAGGCCTCGTGGTGGATCAGGGCCTGATCAACCAGGCTGCTACTGCTGGCCACACGAAAACCGACGTACGAACCACAGCCTGGTTGATCAGGTACTGACTTTAGGTGCCTGTCCAGCACCTTCTTGAAGACAACCAAGGGTCTATTGGTAATGCTCATTATGATAATGATAATATTTATTTCAGCATGTTACATTGTACAAAGGAGAATGACATTTGAATGTACATGCCTGAACCCCCTATATATGCAGAGCATTTTGGGCAAACTTAAGACTAACTTAAGATTAATAAGGTAATAACAATAAAGTGTAAACTTAGGAGTTTACAATGAATACAGGAGAATTGAATATTCTATTAGTCCCTGCTATATGGTTTTAATAAGTTTAATTGAGAGGAATTACTGGTTTGATTATTAACGTGAAGGGGAGAGTTACGGATATTGCAAGTGTATATTGTTTATAATGGTTTACATATGTTCCAGATAAATGGTTTGAAAAACCGACAAGTTAAAGATTAAGACACTTATGCAATATATGGGAATCTTTATTAAGGAAACGTTTCGCCACACAGTGGCTTCATCAGTCCAATACAAAGCAGAAAGGTGTGACACTGACTATTTGCATGTATAATATTTAGATATTTACCTGATGCTGAGATATGTTAGAAAGATAAGGTGCTTTTTAACGGTAGTTTTGAAAAAGCTGGTTGAGTCAGCGGTTCTGGAGAGTTCTGGCAGAGAGTTCCAGATTTTGAGCCCTTTTATGTACATTGAATTTTTGAAGAGATTTGGCCGGACACGGGAAGTGTCATAAATGATTTTTGTGCCTAGTATTATGTCTTTGTATGCTATGTATGTATGCTGGGAGGCAGTTGAACAGGTTTGGGCCCCTGACACTGGGTTAAAAAGAGATTCCAGAATTCAGGTACAAATATATTATATTTCACTTAGTTCTAATCTCGTGTCGGTCATCCATTGCTTAAACTGGTGGAGGCTTGATCCTCCGTTTACTACTGCTGGTTTCTACTCAGTCAGGGTAGACAGATAAAGCCTAAAAGACAGCACAGAATGTGAGTACTTACCACGGTAGCATGAGGGTCAATGAGCTGAGGCAGGGCGAGCACCACAGCCCACGTCAGCACCGTCAGCAGCAACACCTGAGGAAGGAGGAGGATGTGGAGGGTTTAAATCAGGTCTTAATGTGGTGGAAGGCTTAGAATGAAGTTTTGATGATGAAAAGAAGGAAAAAGAATTAGGACGAAAGTCTTGAAGATATCAGGATTCCTCAGCAATCAGGGAAGGGTTGGTGCTCTACTCTTGAAGGAAAAACACAAGAGATATCACCCATGGATTACTATTTGTGGAAATATAGTTCACTCTTTGTTGTACTTATATCGCTGAGTCCAATACTGTTAAGTTAGTGGTCACTGCTGTCATGGCCCACCATAGTGACACTCAGACCACTAGCACAGTTAAATCAGTGGCCACTGTTGTCATGGCCTACCATAGTGCACAGAGATCATTGAGTCCCATACTGCTAAGATAGTGGTCACTGTTGTCATGGTCTGCTGCAGACCACGAGACACCAAACACCTCTGTACACATGTGCTATGAGACACCAAACACCTCTGTACACGTAGCAGTACATAGGTACCCGAGGCACGTAGTGTCTCTGTACATATAACAAGTAACATAGGTACCTTAGACACCTAGTATTATTATACATGTAGCAGTACATAGGTACTTAAGGCACCTAGTAATTCCGTACACATAAAAGCAAATAGGTCCATGAGGCACATAGTAGCTCTGTACACATAGTAGTACATAGGTACCTGAGGCACCTAGTACGTCTGTACATATAGCAGTACGTAGGTACCTGAGGCACCTAGTACCTTTGTATATGTAGCAGTACATAGGTACCTGAGGCACCTAGTACCTCTGTACACATAGCAGTACATAGGTACCTGAGGCACCTAGTACCTCTGTACACACAGCAGTACATAGGTACCTGAGGCACCTAGTACCTCTCTACATTTAGCAGTACATAGGTACCTGAATCGCCTTGTGTCTATGTACAAGTAGCGGAGTAAAGGTACCTGAGACATTACCTTTGTAAACGTTATAGTACCTAGGTACCTGAGAAAGTACCTTTGATTACGTAAAAGTGAGAGAATCTTACATATGTTGTGTATATTACGTCATACATAATAATAATAATAATAATAATAATAATAATAATAATAATAATAATAATAATAATAATAATAATAATAATAATAATATCTTTATTTCTACAAGTACATGTACAAGGTATATAGTCCTAGCTGACAACAATGACATACTACTATATAGAAAGTCGCTTCTTATGCAGAGCATCTCGGGCAAATTAGGTCACTTTTGTCCCAGGATGCGACCCACACCAGTCGACTAACACCCAGGTACCTATTTTACTGATGGATGGACACAGACAACCGGTGTAAGGTAAACACGTTCAGTGTTTACACCCCTTCGCCGGGAATCGAACCCGGACTCTCACCGTGTGAAGAGAGAGTTACTACTCACAGGACGGGTATGGGGAGACTACCACTCAGAGTATGGGGTGACTGCCACTCAGAGTATGGGGTGACTGCCACTCAGAGTATGGGGTGACTGCCACTCAGAGTATGGGATGACTGCCACTCAGAGTATAGGGTGACTGCCACTCAGAGTAAGGGGTGACTGCCACTCAGAGTATGGGATGACTGCCACTCAGAGTATGGGGTGACCGCCACTTAGAGTATAGGGTGACTGCCACTCAGAGTATAGGGTGACTGCCACTCAGAGTATGGAATGACTACCACTCAGAGTATGGGGTGACTGCCACTCAGAGTATAGGGTGACTGCCACTCAGAGTATAGGGTGACTGCCACTCAGAGTATGGGGTGACTGCCACTCAGAGTATAGGGTGACTGCCACTCAGAGTATGGAATGACTACCACTCAGAGTATGGGGTGACTGCCACTCAGAGTATAGGGTGACTGCCACTCAGAGTATAGGGTGACTGCCACTCAGAGTATGGGGTGACCGCCACTTAGAGTATGGGGTGACCGCCACTTAGAGTATGGAATGAGTGCCACTCAGTATGGGGTGACTGCCACTCTGAGTATGAGTGACTACCGCTCAGAGTATGGGGTGACTGTCGCTTAGAATATGGGGTGACTGCCATTCAGAGTATGGGGTGACTGCCATTCAGAGTATGGGGTGATTGCCACTCAGAGTATGGGGTGACTACCACTCAGAGTATAGGGTGACTGCCACTCAGAGTATGGGTGACTACCACTCAGAGTATGGAGTGATTGCCACTCAGAATATGGGTGACTACCACTCAGAGTATGGGGTGACTGCCACTCAGAGTATGGGATGACTGCCACTCAGAGTATGGGATGACTGCCACTCAGAGTATAGGGTGACTGCCACTCAGAGTATGGGTGACAACCACTCAGAGTATGGGGTGACTGCCACTCAGAGTATGGGTGACTACCACTCAGAGTATGGAGTGATTGCCACTCAGAATATGGGTGACTACCACTCAGAGTATGGGTGACTGCCACTCAGAGTATGGGATGACTGCCACTCAGAGTATGGGATGACTGCCACTCAGAGTATAGGGTGACTGCCACTCAGAGTATGGGTGACAACCACTCAGAGTATGGGGTGACTGCCACTCAGAGTATGGGTGACTACCACTCAGAGTATGGAGTGATTGCCACTCAGAATATGGGTGACTACCACTCAGAGTATGGGGTGACTGCCACTCAGAGTATGGGATGACTGCCACTCAGAGTATGGGATGACTGCCACTCAGAGTATAGGGTGACTGCCACTCAGAGTATGGGTGACAACCACTCAGAGTATGGGGTGACTGCCACTCAGAGTATGGGGTGACTGCCACTCAGAGTATGGATGACGCCACTCAAGTATAGGGTGACTGTCACTCAGAGTATGGGTGACAACCACTCAGAGTATGGGGTGACTGCCACTCAGAGTATAGGGTGACTGCCACTCAGAGTATGGGTGACAACCACTCAGAGTATGGGGTGACTGCCACTCTGAGTATGGGGTGACTGCCACTCAGAGTATGGGGTGACTGCCACTCAGAGTATAGGGTGACTGCCACTCAGAGTATGGGTGACAACCACTCAGAGTATGGGGTGACTGCCACTCTGAGTATGGGGTGACAACCACTCAGAGTATGGGGTGACTGCCACTCAGAGTATGGGGTGACTGCCACTCTGAGTATGGGGTGACTGCCACTCAGAGTATGGGGTGACTGCCACTCTGAGTATGGGGTGACAACCACTCATAGTATGGGGTGACTGCCACTGTGAGTATGGGGTGACTGCCACTCTGAGTATGGGGTGACTGCCACTCTGAGTATGGGGTGACTGCCACTCTGAGTATGGGGTGACTGCCACTCTGAGTATGGGGTGACTGCCATTCAGAGGTGCCCTCCCCTAGCTCTACTACCACCTTGAGGTGCCCTCCCCTAGCTCTACTATCACCTTGAGGTGCCCTCCCCTAGCTCTACTACCACCTTGAGGTGCCCTCCCCTAGCTCGACTAAACCACCTTGAGGTGCCCTCCCCTAGCTCTACTACCACCTTGAGGTGCCCTCCCTAACTCTACTACCACCTTGAGGTGCCCTCCCCTAGCTCTACTACCACCTGGAGGTGCCCCTCCCCTAGCTCTACTACCACCTTGAGGTGCCCTCCCCTAGCTCTACTACCACCTTGAGGTGCCCTCCCCTAGCTCTACTACCACCTTGAGGTGCCCTCCCCTAGCTCTACTACCACCTTGAGGTGACCTCCCCTAGCTCTACTGCTACCTACAACAGTCCACTGACTCAGGTATTTACTTCCTGCTAGGTGAACAAGGGCAGCAGGAGCTCGGAAGCTTATCTATGTATGTCGCCTCAACTGTGGATTAAACCTGAGACTTCGCTTGTGAGCCGCGCGCTCTACAACTGAACTACTCAGCTACAGTTATCACAAGATGAACATAACTGCTACAAGTCAATTACTTTTTTTATAGTCATCATACTGATGATGGTAAAGAAAGAAATCATAAGTTCACATAATGAGCGCAGGTCCTGGACCAGTGTTATTGGTGATGTTAGCGATGGTAATTGTGAATTATTAATATAAAACATCGTAGTGTAATACCTTGAATGCGGTCATGGTGAGAGTGATGTTGGTGAAGTGAGGGAAGTATGGTGAGTGCTGTTGCTCTGGTGTCACCATCTTTTATACGTGCTGGCTCTCAGCTGCCATCTTCCCCTCCTTCTCCTCCTCCTCACCTTCAAGGGTGGTACACCCCCTCCCTCCTTACCTTCAAGGCAGAAGCATCTCTTCCCACCCTCCTTTTTTACGTTCCTCTCTCCCTCCCATCCAGTCCCTCCCGTCTATATTTTCCCTATATTTTCATTTTACTTCATTCCTATCTCTTTTCTCTCCTCTCATCCCGTTATCTATGTATTATCTCCCCCTTCCGCCTATATCATATATAATCTCCCCCCGCCCCATCATTCCTTCCTTCCTATCCCCGCTGCGCTACTGCCTGTTCCCGCAGGTAACAGTAACTGCAGCTCTGCTAGAGCCAAGACTGAAGCTGCCGTACCTGTTGAACCCTCCCTGAAATCCTTAAGATAGGATAAGATTTTGTTCTGAGTTTTAACTTCGGAAGGTAAGTCAACCAGGATAATCCATGAAAGGCAGTGCGTCATCGAGGACTGTCTGTCTTATTTCCATTGGGGTCTTCAGTCTTGTCCCCCAGGATGTGACCCATACTAGTCGACTAACACCCAGGTAGCTACTTGCTAGGTGAGCAGGAAAACAGGTGTAAGGAAACGCGTCGAATGTTTCCACCCCGCCAGCCAGGCCACATTACCCTACTGAAGTCTCCGGCTCTGGCTGAGAGAATTCAACAATGTACGAGGGAGTATAGTAGGCAGTATAACAAGGAAACATAGCTAGCCTTTGTTCACACGGTGTAACTATCATATACAATAATGTAGCAACACGCTGCTGATGTATTTAATTTTTCTCACTAAAAAAGAGCTGCTCCTCTGTCCTTCCTTGCCATACTTCCTCGCCCTTCCTCTGCTGTAATTATTCATAACAAAATAGTTAATTACTGTAATAAATTCTTCCAGGAGAGGACACTCCCTCCACCTTCCTTTCCCCTAACCCTCCCGTCCCTCTCTCTCTCTCTCTCTCTGTTACACAGGGTTTTACAAGGTTAGGTTTAGGGTTCCTAACTTTATTTACAAGCTAAGAGCTGTTACCTATATTAGCTCATTTGAAAGCCCATTTATTGTTAAGAGATATATAGATAGAGAACAGGATGAAGTTGGAGTTATCTGTGGGCCAGCGATTTCATTTGGTCAACTGATTTTATTTCGTTAATGTCATTATGCTATACGAACATGTTCTAGACTCGAGTCATCCTGGGAATAAATGATCTCAGATGAAGTGATATTCTGGAGAAGGTTACAGCCAGAGTGAAGTTGCTGCTTGCTGTCCGTCTTTTTGTGTAGAAGCTCACTTCTCTCTGTCCTCGGAGTGGAGCCAAGTGTGGTACTTTAACAATGTTGGCTTTGTACAGAACAGTAAGGCCACCCACATCCCTCCAGTGTTGAAGGCTCTGCTGAAATGACAGATGTATTAAGGATGGGTCCAGGCTAGAGATGAGACGTCTTGCTCTGTTTTCTACCCTGTCAAGCAGTCGCAGATGAGATGGAGGGCAGGCAGTCCAAGAAAGAGGATCATACTCATGGTATGTGCCTCGTACAGAATCTTGTAAGCCCTTCTGTTGAGCAGATGCGAGATACGTCGAAGTGCTGTAAGCTTCTTGGCAGCCTTGTTTGCAAGATTTACAACGTGGTACTACATGGTCAGTTTGGAGTCAAATTTCACCCCAAGGATATCAACTTCTTCCCTGGTACCAACACTCTTCCATTCATATCTACTACTGCTCCGGCATTACCATCATGGTGCCTAGAGACTATCGTTATTTGTGTTGTCTCAGGTGCAAATGTTACTTGCCATCAGTTTCCTCATATAGCTCTTAGCTGGTGATTGATGTAGCTTAGATCAGCTAGCATTTCCTCTCTTAGATAAGTAAATGTCAGAGTACAGTCGTCTGCATGTGCATGGGATTCTGGGATGAGATGAAGAAGGTCAATGAAGTAGACATGCCATAACAATGGCCCAAGCACGCTTCCCTGTGGAACACTTGCCCCAATAGGATGTCTAACTGACACTGTTTCATCGAGAACTACACTAAGAGACTACCTTGAAGGTATCACTGAGTAGACATAGTGCAGAGCCTGCAATTTCCAGTGCTTGCAGTTTTGTCAAGAGGCCCTGGTGCCATACTAGGTCGAAAGCACCAGCAATATCCAGTGCTACCACACAGCTAACTTTCGATTAATCCAATGACTGGTGCCACTTAGTGGAGAGGTTTAACAACAGATCAGCAGCAGAGTAACCTTTCCTGAAGCCATATTGGCGGTCACAAAGTAGTGAGTGGCAGTCAAAAGGCTGTCATTTGTCTTGAGATTACTGTCTCAAGAAGCTTGCCAGTGATTGACAGGAGTGACACTGGTCTGTAGTTGCTGATTTCTGCTCTGCTCTTCTTTTTGTGAACAGGGACTACATTTTCCTCTTTCCACAGAGATGGCCATTTTCTCTGTACTAGGAAGTGCTGAAAGATGCGAGTTAGAGGTGCTGCTAGCTGGTTTTCACATCTACTCAGCAATCTTGAGCTCAACTTGTCTGGACCCACAGCCTTTTCTTGATCAAACGATTTAAGAAGGAAATGCACCTCCTCCTGCCTTATTGTCACCACTGACAGCTTTGGCACAGGGTCCCCTTGCTGGATCAGGAACTTTCATTTTGGCAGCAAAGTATTCGGCAATGAGGTCAGCTTTCTCTTGCTTACTAGTAGAGGTGGTCCCATCTTCTCGATTTAGAGATGAAATAAGTTCATCAGCCTTGTCTGTCCTTGACCAAGGACCACCAGGTTTTGGAGCCCACTCTACCTGATGCTAGCTTTCTTTTTGTGACCGCCTCCCATTTAGAGACGGCCCACTTTTGAATTTCACCCGTATGCCTACAGGCTTGCCTGTGCAAGTTCCTGTTATAGGTTTTACCTGGAGTTTACCTGGAGAGGGTTTCGGGGGTCAACGCTCCCGCGGCTCGGTCTGAGACCAGGCCTCATGATGGACCAGGGTTTGATCAACCAGGCTGTTGCTGCTGGCCGCATGCAAACTAACGTACAACCCACAGTCCGGTTGGTCAGGTACTGACTTTAGGTGCCTGTCCAGAGCCTTCTTGAAGACAGCCAGGTAGTGGGATGTCTCTCACACTTTCGCCAAGCCTTGTACTAAACAGTAGCAGTTTCTCTACAACGAAAGCCGAACCAAGTCTGATCTGTAGGCTTCGTCACAAACTGCCGGTGAGGGATATGTTCTTGTAGTAGATTAAGGATGTGTCCAGTGAAGGCATTCACTTGATTGTAAACATCCCCTTGGAGAAGAACATTCCAATCGCAGGTGGAGAGTTCAGAGCAAAGGGCTGGCCAGTTACCTCTTTCCTATAGCCAGGTGTGCGTGTGGACTCCTCACCTCGTTCTGCTGGGATCTTCAGTGTCGGAAAAACAGCCCTGTGGTCAGACGATCCAACATAGCCGAGGGGTTGACATGTGACTATACCTTCCGCCAGATCACTCGCTACTAGGTCGAGGGAAGAGCCAGAGATGTGAATAGGGAAATCAACAAAGTTTCTCATATCAAATACTGCAAGAAGGTTATCAAAGTCCCTCTGTATAAGATGCTGGTTGAGACTACCAACGATTATAATGTTGACATTTGTGTTGTAGCAGAAGTAAGTCCACATTTTCCATTAGGAAGTTGATGGGGTCTGCATGTTACCACTGAGGTCTGTACATTGCACATACTAGTACAGAGTCAGTTAGTTAGTTTAATATGTTTATTATGCACCCCATACCCATCCTGTGGGCGGTAGTCAAAAGATTACAGAGGTACATAATGGGTCCAGGGACTGGGCCTCAAAGTTTTGATAGCTGAGCAAGTTACAGAGGTAATGAATTCACAATTTACAAAGGTAATGAACTCACAATTTACAAAGGTAATGAACTCCAGGTAGGTCTAGTCACAATCATGACAAGTTACAAAGGTATTTAACAGATACAGAGGTACACAATGGGTCCAGGGACCGGGCTCCAAAGTTTGATGGCTGAACTGGGTACAAGGTAATGAACTCAAAGTTACAAAGGTAATGAACTCCACAAGTTACAAAGGTAATGAAAACTGTAAGAATGGTTACTTACGTGTATACATGGCTGCAATCATGAACAAATTTTTAGAGAAAATGAGCAATTCACACTTCCACACCCGTCCCCCAACTGTAGTGATTATTGGTGCAAATGTTGATTACTGATCTCTCTCTCCACACACACACACACACACACATCCCAAATTCATAACAAAACACAACACATAAACACACACACACACACACACACACACACACTGACCACACGGAGGACAGGAGGGTCAGGGGAGACATGATAACGACATATAAAATACTGCGTGGAATAGACAGGTGGACAAAGACAGGATGTTCCAGGGAGGGGACACAGAACAAGGCCACAATTGGAAGTTGAAGACACAAATGAGTCAAGAGATAGAAGGAAGTATTTCTCAGTCATAGTTGTAAGCAGTGGAAATAGCCTAGAAAATGACGTAGTTGAGCAGAACCATACACAGTTTTAAGACGAGGTTTGATAAAGCTCATGGAGCGGGGAGAGAGAGGCCTAGTAGCAACCGGTGAAGAGGCGGGGCCAGGACTAGACTCGACCCCTGCAACACAAATAGGTGAGTACACACACACCACAACACACACATACACAAGCTCATACACACACACGCACACACACTCATACACAACACACACACACTCATACACACACACACGACTCATACTCACACACACACACACAACACACCCACAGACACACACACAACACACACATCTCGAACACACTCACACACTCATACACATACACACAAACACACACACACACACACACGACACACACACACACACAACACACACACACACACACACACACACACACACACACACACACACACACACACACATGCACATATGAGTGTAAGGCTTTATTTACAGCTAGCAAAGTCAGGGTATTTCTCCAGAATGATCTGTGGATAAAATACTTTGCCATT